TTTCTGTAAGATCTAAAATGACTTGTCTTTTGCTTTTTTTTTTCTTTTTTTCTTTGATTTTTCTTTTTTCTTTTTTTTGTTTAAATGCAGTAGATTCAACAGATATTTTAAACTGTAATATTAGGGTTTTTAATACTTTTTGGTTCTGTCGTCTTTGTCGAGTTTTTCTTGTTCTTGAAGTCTCTTGCTCCAATCTAGATTTAACTTTGACTTTATTTCAGCAGCTTGCTTTTTTTTTTGTCAAACTTGCATTTTTTCTTTTTCTTCTTTGGCTTTCTTTTTAATCTCTTGTTGGTTTGCTGCGGTAGTCTTGACAAATTCTTTGAATTATTGTACTATAGACTTTAGAGCTGTTTTATTGTGCTGCTTTTGTTGATTTTTTCTTTGTTCTTGAAGTTTTTTGCTCCATCCTAATTCTAATTTCGACTTTACTTTCTCTATCTTCTAGTAATTTTCTTATTTTGTCAACTATCCTTAATTCTATCATAATACTGATTATTTCTTCTTTTATAATATTAGCAACTGGGTCTTCTTCTTTTTGTATTGCTTTATAAAAACACTCATGGTCTCTTTTTATAAGTGCAAGTTCTGTATACTCTAATTCTTCTCTATTATAACTCCTTAATTCTTCAATAAATTCTTCTATTTGTGCTTTGGCTACTTCTTCTGAGATGAGTTGCTGCTCAGTAAATTCTATCATTATCTATTCTACTTGCATATTTATCATTTTGTCAGTTATTGCTGTTGTTATATCCTAAATAGCTTCTAATATCTCTTTTTTTGTAACAGGTCTTTTTTCAGAACTTCATACTAACTTTTGCTTCATGTGACTTGTTGTTTTCTGATTATCATTATTTGTTGTTACTACTTATTGTGATTGTTTATCTCCATTGTTTATTTTTATCACATAGTTTTTAGTATGTTTTCTTTGTTTATTTTTCATTACGTGTTGTGATTCTTGTATTACCAAAACAGATCTGCAATTCAGAATCAAGGCTGATTCTCCAGAAATTCACAAAGTGCAAAAAAATATTGACAATTTTTTATAACTTTTTCTATTTCTTTGCCACTTCTGTTTCTTTACTCAAGTCTTTTAAGAGACTAAATATTTTTTGTAGTTTCTTTCTTCTTTTCTTAGAGCTCTGAGTTTTGTTTTCTAATAGCTATTTGTGTTTTTTGTAGTTTTTGTTAATTTTATTTTTTAAAAAATATATATTTTGATGATCAGCAGAAAGAGTTAGATATATTAATATTACCCATGATGATCATTACCAATTATTTTAAATTAAAATCATAAATATAATATTTTAATAGAAAATTATAGATGGCGACCCATCGCCATGGCAACTCCATATGATCGGCCAATCATTTTTGAGATCGCTGATCATATATAAACAATCAATAATCGTTTGTTTTAGATTTTGGTTTTCGTTCTTTTTTTCGGCTTTTGTTTTTTGCTTCGCTTAATTTTAGGCTCAGGTATGTGTTTTTTGCTTTTTTTTTATTTTCTTTATTATCTTCGCTTTTATTTTTTTTATTTTTTTTCTTACCTTTTATTTTCCTTTCCTCTGCTTTTTTTTCCGCCTTTTTCTTTCCGCCTTTTTCTTCTTTCACTGTTTTATTTCTTTTCTTTTTCACTTCTTTTCTTTTTCTTCGTTTCTCACTTTTTTTTGTTTCCCGCTTTATTCCTTTCTTTTTTTTGCTTTATTTTCTGCTTTTTTCTTCTTTCTATTTCTTTTCTTCTTTCTCGCTTCTTTTTTTTCTTTTTTTTCCTCTGTTTTTTTGTTTTCCGTTTTATTTTAGTTTCTTTTTTTCTGTCTCATTTTCTTTTTTTTTTTCACGTTTTCTTCTTTATTCGTTCTATTTCGTTCATCTTTCGCTTCCTTCTTTTTCTTCTCTTTTTACTTCTTTCTTTCTTTTCCGCTTTTTGTTCTTTTTTTTTTTTTTTTTTGTTCTTTTTTTTGTTTATTTTTTTTTTTTGTTTTTCTCTCCTTAACTAACTTTCTTTTCTTTCCTATGGTTCAGCATTCTTGGAATCGTCATTCTTGGAGTTGTCATCTTGGAGTTGTCGTTCTTTGGAGTCGTCATCTTGGAGTTATTGTTCTTCGTCGTTGTTCTTAGAGTCTTCCGTGTTTTTTCTTGTTTCCATTTTTTTTTTTTTCTTTTCTGCTTTATTTTCTTTCGCCTTTTTCTTCTTTTTCGCTTTATTTCTTTTCTTCTTTTCTGCATCCTTCTTTTCCACATCCTTCTTTTTCTTCTTT